TTATCCTTAATCAATATACATTCTAGGGATACACTACATTCTTGCGGCTTTCCTGACTGAGTTTCTCTGTCCAAAAAGCTCTAAAATGTCTAATGGTCACCATCTGGAATATTTTACTCAACAAAGTGAAATTGTTGGACTCTTTAAATGTGCAAACTAACTACAATAATTTGCTGAAGGGCAAAAACCATAATACAGTTATTTCTGCAAATGCAGACTTAAGTGAAATATAAAACCACTTGACTGTGCATTTAACAAAAACATTTTTTACTTTTACCTAAGATCCAATTAAGTATTAGGTATTCCTGAGAAAATGTGCTTCCCCAAATCATTTTCATATTCAGTTTTCTGAGCGCTGCTTTAATATTCCTTACATCAGAAGCAAAACAGCTTTTCCTACTAACAAGCAATGAAATACTGTAACAGCACAATAGGGTTTAATATTACTTAGTTCCATTCTTAGGGACATTTAGGGAAAATAAATATTTGGATATTTTTAATGAAATATACAGTAGATAGTTGCTTCCTGATGAATAGACAATGAAATTTAGGGAGATACCCTAGGCATTTATCTAAGAGGAACATGAGACACTGCACAATCAAATCTGCAGCTATAATATCCCAAACAAATTCAAAATAATTTACAAGACAGACTTCGAGGAAAGAACAGAATATTATTTATTATTATTCAACTCAGCTAAAATCACTCAAACGTATTAAGGACATTATTCTAGTTGTAGGGTTCTAGGGTGATGAATGGGCATTATTTATAGGCAAATACTGCTTCATTTTATTCTGCAATTCTCCTTTTTATATACAATATATCTATAGACATACAAAATATAGATGGCATACATTGAGAGTGTTGATTGTTAGCAACTACACAGATAGACTTTCTCCAGGATGATCTGTTCCCAACCGCTAGTTCAGGTCTCCCAAAGGTGCACCCATCAACACTGTAATTGATCCATCCATCTTGCTGCTGATCATCTACTTCTCTTCTCCAGCATTATAGACTTTTCAAGGCAGATGCAATTTGATAAATGTGTACAAAATAAAATAATTTGATATTCTCAGGAGTCTTCTCCCACAACAAAGTTCCAAAAGTGTCAATATTCCTTCTATGTTGTTTCTTTAAATTCAACTTTTACTTCCATACAACTTCATAGATAGCACTGTTAACCTACAGGATTTTGATCTTTGTAAATATAGATACATCATGGCATCTGAATAATTTTTCCAAGAAATTCACTACTAACTTAAGTGGCTCTTGGGTACGTGGAGCATTTGGATCCATCTTTAGTTGTGGATGGGTTAGCAGTGCCCCAGACAGACCTTGTGCAAATTTGAGGGTCCTCCTACACTCACAACTCCTGCTTGAAGAGCAGGCAACAGTTGTGGCTAGGAGACCCTTTGCACAACTTTAGACTGTGTGCCTGTTATGCACTTTTCTAGATCATGAGGCACTCAGTCACTCATGCCCTGATCATCTTGTGCTTGGATTACTGCAATGCACTCTACATCGGGCTGCTCTTGAGGAGCATTTGGAAGCTACAGCTTGCACAAAATGCAGAAGCACAGTTTCAGGGCCCCTAGGGTAGCCCATGTTAGACCACTGTTGCGCTAACTGCATTGGTTGCTGGCTTGGAGTACAATTCAAGGTGTTGGTTATTATCTTTAAAGCCCTATACAACATGCCTCCAAATTACCTGAGGAACTGTCTCATCCCAATGGGATTGGCTGCCCCACTCATTCTGGCAGAGGAGCTATATCCTGGATTCCATTGGCCAAGAAAACATGGCTGTCAGGGGCCAGGAGAAGAACCTTTTTTGCTGTAGCTCTGGAATATCAGGCTCCACCCCCACTTTTTTGGCCTTTGAAAAGAGTCAAAAACCTTTGCTAACTGGCTTGGGGCTTCGATGTGTCCCATTTTAGAGGTGGCTAGTAGACTAGTACAAGAACTCACTTCCACTCTGTCCAAACACTGGTTTTTTTCTGTTTTAATATTAATTTTAATGTTTTAGCTTTTAATGCTTTAATCCTGTAATTATTTTGTTCTGTTATTTGTGGAATTGTAAGCTGCCCAGAGTCATTTGACAGAGAGATGGGTGGCATAAAATTTAATAAATAAAAAATAAATAAATAAAATAAATCCTACAAAGTACTAATCTGCGGTGTATTTCTCTCAATTATCCAGAGTGCATCAGCAATGTCTCTTTTTTTGAACTGCTGCTGACATCTCCTTTTCTATGTAAAGTTTAATTTCCATTGGGATGATCTTAAGTATTATTTTACTATTATGTGAAACAAAGAATATTGTACACTCTCTTAGGTCTCCTTTGTTTGGTATTGTTATATAGACTGCTCTAACAGTATAACAGTCCACCTCCCTAGGAGACTCTATACTATTCTGGACAGATGGCCATCCAATCTCTTTGTAAAATTTCCAGTGATGGACCATCCACAAGTTGTTCCATTGATTGATCATGCTGTCAGGAAATTTCTCTTTGATAATTTCTCTTTGATAAGTTTCCATTCATTACTTCTTGTCTTGCCCTCAGGTGCTTTGGAGAATAGGTCAACCCCCTCCTCTCTCTGACAGTCCCTCAAATATTGGAAGACTGGCATCAAGTCACCCCAGTCTTTCTCTTCCTTAAACTAGACATACCCAGTTCTTGTAACCGTTCATCATGTTTTGCCTTCAGTCCCCCAATTGAATTTGTTACTCTGTTTTGCACTCTTTCTAGAGCAGGGGTGTCAGACTCAATTTCATTGAGGGCCGCATCAGCATTGCGGTTGTCCTCAGGGGGCCGGGTGGGTGTGGCCAGGGTGGGTGCAGCCTACTGGGTGGGCGTGGATGGAGTGGGTGTGGCCTGCTGGGTGGGTGTGGCCAGCTCTACATCGTTCACATCAAGGGTGCCTCTGGGGGTCTGGGCAGGAGTGGGATAGATCTGAGGGTCTCTGGCAGAAGGGGGTGGGACCAGGGCAAGTACCAAGGCATGGTCCACTGGAGGAGCCTCACTGTTCCTCTCAGGCCATGCGGGGGGGGGGGCTTACGGAGCTAAGACTGAATACGTTTCAGCATAGATGGCCACTACAAAATTGTACATTGGCTCCCGGCCGGCTTGGGCCAGGGGCAAGGCAGAGGGGGCCATTCCCTCACTGTTTCCAGGATGGCTTCGCGGGCCACATGAAACCACTTCGCGGGCCACATCCGGCCCCCGGGCCTTGTGTTTGACATGTCTGTTCTAGAGTTTCAACATCTTTTTTGTATTGTGGTGATGCAAACTGGATGCAGTACACCAACTGTGGTCTCTTACCAGCGTAGTATAAAGTGGCACTAATCCTCAATTTTCTAGTACTAGAGGATTTTTACAACTACTATAGGTACTTCTATAATACAGAATTTCAGTATATTCCTTCCATCTATGTTTTTCTTTGGAAGTTATTTTTTCCATAAATACTTTTCAGCATACAAATTTGAGGCTGTAATGTTCATCTGAGTTCAGAGATCTTTTGGAAAACAATTTTTTTTCAGCAAGTCTGAGTGAGGATCTCCTCATAATAGGGAGCCTACACGCTGGTTATTGTTTTAATTTGTTGTAAAATGTTTTAATTCCTGATTTTATTGTATTCCACCCAGAGTCACTTTGGATGACATGAGCAGTCAAACATATTTGACAAACAAAACAGAATAAAATAAAACAGTAGAACAGATAAGTCTAGAATCTACCTATTTCCATTATAATGGAGAAACATTGTCATACACAAGAATATAAAACAGGTATTATTCTTGGCTAGTATAACCTTCAAATCATCTGCAGAGGACCTGGGTTAATTTAAAATTAACGTATATGTCTTTGCTGAAGTTATTTTTTTTCCTGGATAGCAATCTGAAAGTTTGAACTTCATACTCATTTTTGGCAACTATATAGTACAGGATAACAAAGTTTTGTAGCAGTGCCATTTATTTCGTGTTGGAAGGATAATAAATGGATGTTGTGCACTTTTATCATTAAAAAAACTAACATAAGGCTAAGAAGAAAACCATTCCCAACAATTATGCAATCATCTGAAAGACTTGTGTCTTTTTCAATATTTGAGCAAGACTTTACCAGAGCTATTTATAAATTTGGATTACAATATATTTTATTTCCTTGTTCTATTCTTATGTTTACACCCATTAATATTTTGTGTGTGTGTTTGTTGTGCTTGGGTTTGTTTACTATTTATTAAACATATTTATAAGGCCATCCATTTGACAAAAGCATGCCGGACCTTGAATAAAGATACACACACACAAAAAAAAATCCCACCAAACTTCACAATCCATTACACACACAAAACATTTTCAAGGATCCTAAATAAACACCAGTAGCAATGTAACAGACACATCAGCACACTAGAGTTGCATTAAGATCCCGGTCCTAGTGCTTGGGGAAATAGCCACACTTTTCATGGTCCTCCTGCGCTAGCAGTTTGTGCTGACCACATCTTGGAAGGAACCTGCCAGGGATTCTCTCTCAGACCAACCCATCACAATGCGTTGTTGGTATATTTGCCGCTTTTAGTTATTTATAAATAATTTGCAAATAAAAGCAAATAAACCTCCCTCAAGAGCTGAGCCTGAACGGCAGATACTAACCCAGTGTTTCTCAACCTTGACCATTTTAAGGCATGTAGACTTCAACTCCCAGAATTCCACAGCCAGCATTGCTGGCTGTGGAATTCTGGGAGTTGAAGTCCACATGCCTTAAAATGGTCAAGGTTGAGAACCAAACCGCACGCCACCTTTCCGTCTCTAAGGCCGACGAATCGGAAGCTACTGTTCCTTGGAAGGGGCGGGCTTTAGTTTCTCTGCCTCGGTCATTGGGCGTTTCTGACTGAGCGCAGGCGTGAAAGGAGCGAAGGGCCGGCTTTTCCTTGTTTCTCTCGCCCGCGTTGAAAGCGACGCCGTGCATAAAGATAATTTTTATTTATTTATTTATTTATTGGGGCGGGGGGGGGAGCAGGTCTATGGCTGCTGCAGGCTTATCCCTTCGTGGCCAGGATAAGAAACCGCGGCGGCGATGATCCCAACCCCGCGGCACCAGCACGTGGGTCCAGAGGGTCCCTTCAGCGCTGTTTATGAGCCCGCCGAAGACACTTACTTGCTGCTCGACGCCCTCGAGCAGGATGCCGAGGCTCTGAGAAGCGCCGGGTGAGGCGCCGATCGGCGGGGCTGCGCAAGCCCGGGAAGAGTTCGGGGACTGCGGGCGGGCAATGGCACGATAGGAAACATCTACGGTGCATTTGCAAGTATATGGCCTAGATTAGCGAAATGTGTAAACTTGGCCTGAGGTGTGCAGAAGATCCATGGGGCACATTGGATAAGCTTAATTCTCCCAGACGTTCATTTCTTAGCTGTATGTGTGTATATATATATAATGTATATGTGTGTGTGTGTATATATATATATATAATGTATATGTATATGTGTGTGTGTGTGTGTATATATATATATATATATATATATATATATATATATATATATATATATATATATATAATGTATATATATATATAATGTATATGTATGTGTGTGTGTGTGTATATATATATATTCAAATCAATAGCCTGTGAGCACCAGGAGTATAATAAACTAGAAAAGTTTAATAACACAAATACACACCAAGCTTTCGTCGGAAAGGCGCAGCCCAATCGGTTGGGACCGGTGAGAAGATCCAGGAGCCGGGCACAGACGACGGGTTGCCTATAAAGGGACTCTCCCATGGACTGGCATTTAGCCCTGACGATGTCGGAAGGATTCCGACGAAAGCTTGGTGTGTATTTGTGTTATTAAACTTTTCTAGTTTATTATACTCCTGGTGCTCACAGTCTATTGATTTGAAGATGATTACACCCAGGAGTCACGCTTTTAGTTTTAACGTTATTAGCAGTATATATAGCGCTAAGAAATGAACGTCTGGGAGAATTAAGCTACTACTCATATATGAGACGATTAAAAGATTAAATTGATCACCCAGTTATTGACTGATCTTGATCTTGAAAAGTAGGGTTTGTCAGGGTTAATATTTGACAGGGAAACCATCAGGAAAGGGCAGGGCTCGACAGAAAAGTGGAGGTGGGGAAAGACTCTTTCTGGACAAAGACAGTGGCAAGAAGCTACACGTAATCAGGAATCAAATTCACTTCAACGGAGATTTCATCTTTTTATAAACTATTAAATAACATCATACAACTCACCATAATGTATAAACTTTCTGGTAACGTATGTTATGGCCTGTTAACTATCTGTTTTCTAAAACAGTATCCTGCAAATACCATCCACATACTGCATTCTGTTCTGTTGCAGAAGAATGATTTGGCCATCATTGCATTCAAGTGATAGAAAAGATTTTTTTGCTGGGAAGAGTTCAAATAAATCTTATAAAGAAAGATTGTGTGTGTGTGTGTGTGTGTGTTGCTAGAATTCCACCTGCCATGACTAAGAATAAGGCAAATAAGTATCTCTGGAATATTAACGTACAAGTAAAAACCAGACATAAATAGAATAAAATATATAAAGCCTCTAGACTTAGGTTACCTGTAAATATAAAATGTTTCCTTATTGATGTATAAAATCACATTGCAGGTAGAATTTATCAGTCTGAGAAATCAGCAAAGTTGAATAATAGTAATAATAGCAATAATTCATTAAAGTTGGATGCCACCTAACACTGAACAGCTTTGGGAAGCATACAAATATAATTATTTAATTTAAATTACAATTATGGCAATGATTTTTTTACGAATGAAGGCAAATACACATGTCCCAGGATAATGTTGCAAGATCCAATCTGGGTCGGTCACTGGGACCAGAGGATGACCGGCCCAGATTGGATCTTGCAATTATTTTATAGTTACAGATTACATTTATTAAACTTATAACTGACATTGCTCATTGACTGCTGGATCTAATTTTTAATTTGAAAACGGATAGTTCAGAAATGTATACATTAAACCATGTATGTTTTTATATAACATTGTAGTTTTCATTTTAATCTCTGTAAACTATTATTTTTGCATTTGTTTAGCATCGATATATGCCTTGAAGTAGGATCTGGATCTGGAGTAGTTTCAACTTTTTTAGCTTCAATTGTTGGATCCAAAGCATTTTACATGTAAGTATTTATATGCTATTTGAGTTATACAAGGTAAGCAAGAAATAGGGTGCTTCTGATGCATAATTTTTGTTAGTTAAATAATGTAGCATAGTCTTTGGGATGTGAATATGAGTTATTATTACATGTAAATTTAGATTATGTCAATGATATAATTCTTCACCGAGTAAAAACATTAGATAAAAGAAATACAATTTGGTGTTAAACAGTATATCTGACAGTTCCACAAGATAATGGCTCAGTTCAGAACTGTTGCTTGTATTTCACTATTATTTTAGAAACCAATATTTATCTGCTTTAATGTGTCCTCAGTATGTATACAGTAGCGCTTTCCTACATGCAGTCGCATGTACATTTAAGGTACAGCACAAAAACGACATTACTCTGAATCAAGATATACAAGTTCCAGATGACTGGAACTTTGAGGATCAGTCATAATTTCCATTTGTTTACGGCTGTCATAAAATGATCACTGAACAAGTGGTTGTTAACCAAGGACTTACATATTTCATGAAACCAGGGGCATCTATGGATAGCAGTGCAATCAAATACCTAAATTATATCTGACCAATTATTTTCTAAGGTAAACAAACATAGCTTCTGTTTTCTAAAATGTAATTTTGTGCATACAGGTGTACTGATATCAACCCTGTGGCTGGTCTATGCACAGCAGAGACAGCTAGACAAAATAGTGTTCACATTCAGCCAGTAATTACTGACCTGGTAAGATGTAAATTGTAATTGATTGTTTTGGTCAGCAAATTTTAAAATGTTATTAATTTTCAAACATTGTGTATGTTAAATTTTAGGGTAAGAATGATTATTATAACAAGTATGTTAGAAGTGATGGAGCTCTTCTGCTTGCTTGTGTACCAGTCAGCTGATTTCATGACACAAGATGTGATCTGCCCTGCTCTGATATTGTTTTCAAGTGTTAGTTTGAATAATGTTAGTGGCACTTGGTACCTCAGTGTATTTTAGCTTGCGTGTAGAATGAGTGACTAGCAAAAACATATAAAAGTTTTGGTGATGAACATCTTAGCAGTAGAGCAATCTGAAGCATGGGAATGCAAGACAAAAGTTATTACACAATATAACATGCAGGCTCCTTTACCCATTATATAATGTATGATAAACCAATTTTCATAGGCTGCATGATAGATTTTAATTATAATATGAAACTTAAAAACCAGAAAGCAGGTATTGAATAGATATATTTTTAGTATTCTGGTTTTCCTGGAATAAGCACTGGTAGACGTAATGTGGGAATAAGATTACCTTGCATTAGCTTTTATATTCTTGGCAAAATATGGTGCTATCTCACCGATACCTGCTTTTCACTTTCTTCCTTTGTTTCTTCTGTAAGAAGGCACCTGTAACTTTCAATATCTTTTGTAGTGAACCTGAATAATCGTATGCGTTACATAAATGCTAATGTTTTTATTTATGTTTAGGTAACAGGGTTGTTCACACGATTACATGGAAAAGTTGATTTGCTGTTATTTAACCCACCTTATGTGGTAACCCCTTCTGCTGAGGTATGATCATATGAGATTTAAGAATACCAATTAACAATTTACCAATTGTAACAATGTATAGCTTCTGTAAAGTATCACTAGTATTGAAAAAATTCAATGAGTTGGAAACTGATTTTTTCACACCCTAGCTTTTTTATTTCTAAACTGTTACTTATAAATAGAACATTTCATCCTTCACTTACGGTTTTTCTTGTTTCTACATCTTCTCTTGATATTTGTGGTTTAATCCCAATTCCATAGAGGCATAGAATATAATCATTGACTATATCTTGGAGATGACCTAATCTATCTCCCTGTCCATTGAAGAAATCCAATATTGCAGCATCTGACAACCAAAGAAGAATCTACTGCTTCCCAAGAAACACAGAACAAGAACTGCAGAACAATTCTTAAGCATGTGTAATGTCCAGTAGAAATATGTGTTATTTCTTCTGAAATAACTTGGAACAGGTCTACCCTGTCTTCTGTATGACAATCTTTCAGTTCAATTTTCCATATTTTATTTGTTCTAGATACAAACTCATGGAATAGAGGCAGCCTGGGCTGGAGGTAAAAATGGCAGAGAGGTTATGGATAGACTGTTTCCACTTGTGTCAGACTTACTATCAACAAGAGGATTGTTTTATTTAGTTACAATTAAAGAAAATAATCCAGGTAGCCATATCTCAATTTCTTCTTAAATATTGTGGTGGTTGATTGTCATGCAAAATACTTTTTAATAGTTATGTAAAATCTTTGAATCCTGGGTAAAAATTCTATTTCAAATTTGATTGTAGTAAATGCAGGTCTGAGCTTTATTATGTGTATTATTATGTTGCTATTAAATACCATCAACAAAAGAACATAGATGTTCTTTCAAATGTAGAGACAAATGTTAAAGAAAATGAAATGAAGCACAGGGACTATTTTTCTGACATTCATACATTGGGCAGATTAATTTATTTAACCTGCATTGAATGCATAGAGTTGTGGCCAGCACAGGATACTGGGAGCTAAAGAAATAGGCTAACTTTCCTTTTATTATATAGAGATAAAATACATGGAAATGGCTCCAATGTACTGTCATTTTGTTCCCCAAGATTCAGTTAGGTTAGCAGTAAAGTCAGTTGTTATTTCTAAACTGAATGATAATCTCTTGTTTTAAATTGCAGATGAAATTATTAAAATATTGCAGGAATGTGGTTTAAATGGCAATAAAGTAATTTCCAGACAAGCAGGAAGGGAGTATCTTTCAGTACTGAAATTCTACAAATCCTGAAACTGGTTTCTGGAGGAATCTTCATATAGTACACTCTTTGCTTTAAAATACTATCTTAGATTAATTTGTTACATTTAAGTGCAATTAAATTCTAACTGCTGTCAACAAGTATACATTAGCGCATTATCTTAATTCAAAAATATGCATAATATTTCCATATGTAATCAAAATTTTGACAATAAATTTATAAAAGTGGAAACATTGTTACAATCCTGTCATACAAGTAATTAGGAGAGAAATTGTAGCTGTTGTCCTAAGTTGCTTCTTTTTACCATCTGAGTTTCAGAGATTCTGAATGATGAATTTAGCACTGAAGTAATTCTCTTGTTTCTGTTGCATATTCTGACTTCAGGGGCAAGCAGAGTTTAAGTAAAAATAGCTGTTTGAAATAGCTTTTTCAACCTTACGAAAAATGTTTCAAATTTAGAATTCTTATAGGTATTCTACATTGGCTTGGTAGAAATAAGAACAAGCACCTGCAAGGTGAATGTTTAAGTAAAAACAACTGTTTCAAATTTGAAATAGTTATTACAATTTCACAATAAATATTTCAGGTTTAGAATATTATTAGATAGTCAGAATACTTAAAATATAGTTGGAACAGCTGTTTCAAACTTGAACGTTTAAATTCAGAATCTTTTGCACACCACTAATCCCTACTACAGTACTGGCAACTGCTATAAGCTGTACTAGTTGACTCACAATATTGTTTGCCGCTACCTCAAATCTAATACACAGTTTAAAAATCAGTACCACAGATGCATATGTGAGTATCTCAAGTGTGCGTATATCCCTCTCATTTTGAACCCTTAATACCAATTCTAATCGTGATCTCTAACTGAGCAAACTATTAAATTGCTCTGCATGCTGCTAAAAATCTTTCAACCTTAACAGGGCTTTCTTATGTAAGACAAGATACACTACATAGCCAGAGATCAAAAACTGTTACACGTCACCCATTTCTACATTTCGCATCTGAATATTTTAATGCAAAGATAGTAAATAACACTAATAAATGATCAATCGGTTTGAATTTTTTATTGTAGGTGAAGAAATTAAGGTTTTACTGCTCAGTCCAAGTATGGTGGTTTTCAATTGCTTCTTTAGGCTCACTGAAGCAGAAAAATGCATATCAGAAGAAAGTCTCTCGACAAAGAGGGCAAGTGGATTTGTTGCTAGATGTAAACCATTTGTACTGGAGGAATTCAGAAAGCAAATATTAAAAATAGTCTAGTATTTACTATTTACAATTAAACACTAGCCAGTCAAGATTAAACACTTTATGGCATCTTTAAATCTACCTCTAAAGTTAAATATTCAGTGCCTATTTGTAATGAAGTATTTTCATGGACTAGCCTAGTAGCCAACAATACTAGGCTATTCCATGAAAGCTATTCTTTCACAAGCCAGTTTCCTGGAAGCTCTGATGAACATCGAAGGCATAAAAAAACCCTGAAAAATAAAAACTTCTATTGCCCCTCTGAAAACAGCAAATCATTTCAATTTAAAGGATCCCATAATTGGCTTAAGAGCTCCCTTTACAAAATTAACAATAAAATATTTTAAGCTTTTTATTTAATGTTCATATGTGTACTAGTAGCATTAAAGCCATATAAATTTCAGACCTGTTTTCCTTCAGAAATATTACTAGTCAAGATACTTACCAGACAGGCTGAATGGAACTTAAATTTCAGACCTGTTTTCCTTCAGAAATATTACTAGTCAAGATACTTACCAGACAGGCTGAATGGAACTTTTTCTTGCATGTTCTGCAAGCTTTTTTGGGAAGGGAGTAATTGGAACCGTGTATAACTGAGAAACAGATCATACAATCTTCAACACCCTCAAATCGTTTATCCACATTGTTTTTCCACAATGCTAGCCCTTCCATAATGCTTCCATTCTGTTGAAAAAATAATGCATTTCAACTTTGTGCAATATCACCATTCAGTGAAACTTATCCCAATTTTCCATCTTATTTTTTTACCATTTCCTGTAAATGCATGTAATATAATTCACAATGCAGTATATAATACTATACAGTAAGGTTTTTATTTAGTGTTGATGAATAATCAGTTTGACCTACTATATATTTTCCTGGGATACTGTTGCAGCACTGGAGATCAGTTAAGTGATCCGGGAAGAATGTAACTGCTTTATAAACTGGCCAAAAGTACTGCTATGAGTCCCAGATAATTTTTTCCCTTTCAAGTACTTCAGGTACCTGTTATTTAGAGCAGATCTTAATTCAAGACTGTATATGAAAAAGTACCTGATGAGTGAGATAAGTGCTAAGCTGCAGCATCCAATTGCGCCATTGCTGAACTGCTACACCAACCCTTTTCCCACTCTCTACAGCTATGGAGCCCAAAGGATAATTTGGGGGAAGCTGTATAATCAGTTCAATGAATATATCATCAACTGAGTAAGTAGCAATGACTTCTCGAGTAGCAGATCGAGCTTTTACCTGTAAAAACAAAAATATTAACCATTTATTATAGCAATAATGTTTCGATCCCATTGTTTACTTTTAAGACCTAGCTTAACGAACTGAATTGGAAGCGAAATTTCCATCACTAAGCAAAGCAGTCATTAGGTGAAACATCACATTACCCTACCATTTAATGATGGCAGTTCCAGCTGACAAAGATCTCACATTTTCCCAGCCTGTCTGACCTCCACTTTAATTCCATTCATCTATCTCCTGCCCCATCTCTGTCCTTTTGGTTGCCCTGACTTCTACTACCCCCTGCCACTGCCTTCTGCCCAGCTGAGGCAGTTATTAACCCTTGTGTTGCCTTCCTGAGGCTTTACAAGGTTTCACGGAGGCCATGCAACACCCAGCACTTGACTGGGCATGCCTTAGCAGCAGCAGGAGGAGGAGGAAGAAAAGGGCAAAGCTTGGCAGGAGCAGGTGGGAGTGTAGCACAACTAAAAGGGCAGAGATAGAAGAGACAGGCAAGGGGAGTTGAAATGCACACTGTGGTCAAGGTGTCCCGCCAACTGACTAAATATTGATCATATGACCACAAGCGGCACTGCAATAACTCTAACTCCAAGGACCAGTCAAAATTGCCATTCATTTGGTGTTGTCATAATTTTGAAGAGTTGCTAAAGAAAATGTTATTAAGTGAGGACAACCTGTAGGTGATTTTTTTTTTCAAATTTTATTTTAAGCAACAATAAAAATCATGTTTATAATAGTATAGCACAGTAAACCTCTTTCCACCTAAAGATGCTCAAACTGGGTTAAATAAGGCTGAATTAGTATTAATAGTCAGTTATATTTTCTATTCCACAATATGCACAATTCAATATTTTAATTAATAATCTGAGTATAACATTAGACTTTGTTTAGAACACAAATCTATACAAACGATAAAACAGGTTAAGTCTAACAAATTAATATTCTTACATTCACAAGATAGATCTGCTTAGATACTTATATAAATGCTATATTGAAGAGTTTTTTAAAAAATGGATTCTATATTGTTATGAATGAGCTTAACTTGAAGAAAAATCAGCATCATATGCTTGGTAATCATAACCATATTTCTTATAACTAATTGTAGGCTCTAACTAATACACTTTTTTTGCTTTGTTTTAATTGCATCTAGATATTTAATAGAGCACACATCAAATAATCCCAAATACTGTAGGTATATGTGGAATTTTATTGCCATCTTGAATTTATTTCTACAAGATAGGCCATTATTTGACGGAGTGGCACCATTCAACAATAGCTAGATTTCTGCATATATTCTAAGGCAGGAGTCCCCAACCCCGGGCTGCAGACCAGTACCGATCTGTGACCTGTTAGGAACTGGGCTGCACAGCTGGAGGTGAGTGGCAGGTGAGCAAAACTGTATTCGCAGGATCAGAGAAAAATTGTCTTCCACAAAACATCCCCAGAGGCAACATTTATTTAGTAATGTCAGTGCTTTTTTTCTCATAGAACGCCCAGAACGGATTTCCGACACCTTTTTTGGATGGAACCTTGTAGAATAGGCAAGGCGGGTTATATGACATATGTGAGTTCCGGCACCTTTTTTTTTTTTTTAGAAAAAAAGCACTGAGTAACGTAAACAACTTAGGTACTTCTTAGAACAGAAATGCTTCATAGAAGAATGCTTAGTTTGCAGATGATTTCACTATATTTTTTGAGAACAACCCTAAAATCACCTCAGTGCCAGTGTTTCCAATCAACTCTCAGAGTTGTATCACTGCATTTAATCATGTATAGCACACAATGAACTGCACACAAGTACATACACAGAGATAATAAAAATATGATACAAACCGTCATGCCATTAAACAACTGGGTACTGGTCTGTACAGAAGATATTTCTTGGGAAGACAGTATACCACTAACATATTTGCTTGTAAATTTATCAACAATGTTGAAGACTCGCTTCTCGCAGCTGTTCCACCAAAGACGAACCATAGCTGGCAAATCTTTTAAGGTCATACAATAGACAGTACAAGCCAAATGTGGAATGTGTGAGGACATTGCTAGTGTGTCTATAGAACAAATGGGGAAAAAAATAGAAATAAAGCCAGTTTAAAAAGTGCTGGAGTTTCATATTTTCAGTTACAATATTTCTATTTCTTAGTGATGTGAGTAAAATAGTATACATTCTTACTTGAATTATTAAGTGAAATGCCTCACAATCATTCACAGACAGTTTTGGCTACTTATTCATCTAAATTTTTCTCTCCATTGGCCATTAAAAGAAAAAAGCTTGTGGGTAATCATCCCAGATTTCTCTTTTAAAATGGGATGGTGACCATATAGAAGCATGCACATATTCTTTCAGCTTGGAATTTCAAAGGGAAAAAAATATGAAAACACTATAGAGATTGGTAAGTCACAAAAATGCACATCTTGGTATAACCAAAATTTATTGAGCTTTAAATGGGACCTATTCAGCACAGAGCGTCAGCCCTTTTGTGTTGATTGTGAATTACTGCAATATAAAATAAGGATATTTTAGGAGGTATTTGTTCTGCCATGAAACCATCTGAAAATAGGACAATATTTTAGAGGTCAATGACTAGCCCAGAGGAGTCCTAACACACACAAAAAATCTCAAATAATGAAATACAGAAACATTAAGAATATTTTGACTTGCCTTTGATATCTAAATCAAGCTCTTCAGTGAAATATGTTTTTATATCTTTATTTAAAAGTTCTGATGTTGATCCAGGAAAAGTTGGGTTTTCCGGCATAAGCCTGAACAAGTGATACAATAGTTTATTCAAACTCTTAGTTCTTCGAAGGTATTGTGAATAAAGAGCTCGAAGCTGGAGGAAAAATAACATGTAAAATCCCATGAATTATGAAACATTTTAATAAAATAAGAATTCTTACTGGAAAATGCCTCTAAGCCTTGCTTCCACAGACCATGAAGTAAATGGAATAGAGAAAGGTTCATTTAAAAGTGTGTTTTTATTTGATTTGATTTCGACTCTTAGTGTCTAGTGAGCCCTTTTGGCCCCTGTAGAAAGGCCCATGCAAAAAGCACTACATCATGCTAGAGCAGTGGTTCTCAACCTGTGGGTCGGGACCCCATTTGGGGTCGATCGACCATTTTATGGGGGTCGCCAAGCAAGGCTGTCCGCCATTTTTTTTGTCCGCCATTTTTTTCCCCTTTTCCGGCGGGTGCCTTACCTCCCTTGGGGCTGGGCCAGCTGGTGGTCGGCCTGCTGCCGCTTGCCAGCTACGCCTCGACCGGCGCAGGGGGCGGAACAACACATGTGCGGCGCTCCCGGGCAGGGAAAGTCCTCGACTTACGACCGGTTGGGTAGTCCTCAACTTACGACCGGTTTAGTCCTCGACTTACGACCGGTTTAGTCCTCGACTTACGACCGGTTGGGGTCGCGGCATTAAAAGGTTGAGAACCACTGTGCTAGAGACCATTTTGGTAGCATTTTATTTCTGATAACAACAGATACAATTGTTAGGTGCTAGCATGATACAGATGATGGATAAACCGTACATCCATATAATATACCAACATACC